AAGTCTCAGTACTGTGAGCAGGTCTGAAACCAGATTGAGATACAGGTAGCAAAGAGTTAAAGTCTAAATAGGATGAGAGTTGATTAAAAACAACTTTTTCTATTATTTTAGAGATGAAAGTAATATTAGTTACAGGTCTATAATTAGATAAAGAGGTAGGATCTAGGGATGTGTTTTTAAGAATAGGAATAACAATAGAATTCTTATAAGAAGTAGGAAATTTAGAGGTGGAAAGAGATAAATTAACTAATTTGAGAATGATTGGATAAAATATTGAAGAGAATTCTTTAAGTAAATTAGAAGGAAGTAGATCTAGAGAACAGGTTGTAGACGACATAGAATTAATAATTTTAGTTAATTCTAAAAGATTTATTGGAGTAAATACAGAGAAAGATTCAGTAGTAAGTTTAGTAAAGTTATGAGAAGGAAAATTAGAATTAGATGTTCTTAAGGAAGTAATTTTATTTACAAAAAAGTCATGAAACTGTTGAGCGGAGAAAGATGAGTGAGAAGATTTTTTATGTAGAAGTTTAGATAGAACAGACCACCTATTTTTAGATGTTGAAGCAGATGTTATAGAATTTCTAAGAAAAGTAGAGTGTTTAGAGAATAGTAGATATTTATAATTAATCAATTCAGATTCATAGATAGAATAAAGAGAGTTAGATGGATTTAACCTATAGGCTTTCTCCAGTCTTCTAAGACTTTTCTTGGCTACTACACAAGCATAATCAAACCAAGGAGCCTTACGAGAATAGAGCCTATAAGTAAAAGATTTAAGAGGAATAAGCTTATCAAGAATAGAAGTAATGTAGATATTAAAAGCACAGACAAAATCATCAACATCAGAAAATAAGGTAGTATCAAAAATAGGTTCAGTAAGAGATTGAAGAAAAATATCTTTATTAAGAGAAGACCAGCATCTTTTAGAAATAGACATAGATGAATTTGAAGGAAGAAAATCTAATGAAAAAACAGATTCAATAAGAAGGTGATCAGAGTAAGGAACAGAGCTAGCAGAGCTTGTATGAATGCCTGTGATGTATGTATTGATGTTATTCCGTGCTTAACGTACGGTTTTTTTGAAATTTGCTAAGATTTTTTTTAATGTGATTTCTTTCTGTGTGATTTTTGCAATTCGCGTTCAAAAATTGTGCTATTTCATTTTTTCAAAATGGTATCAAACTACGTTTTATTGACAACTGAAGCAACAACTAAATAAGCTCCACCCACGGTGCAACTAATAAACTAAATACAGCCTGCATGTTCGTAGGTTAGCGACGGTATAATGTAAACAGCCGAAATACTAAAAATAGGAAAACTGTTTTTTGAGTAATTATTTTTAAAATGTTATTGAATTTAAAAAAAATAAATAAAATGTAAACGCTTGACAACGCAATCTACCCTTAAACGATTTTGAATCAAAATATAACCTGAATTTTATGCTTTGTACCATATAATTAGAATAAATATAACGGCCTTCGCTCATTTTTGACGGTCGAACAAGGAGCTTACTTCCGGAGGAAAATAGGAGGGTGATTTTTTATCGCCCAAGTCAAAAGTTACGATCGTATATTTACTAATTACGGAATATTGCTTTTATTTAAAATTTCAAAATGTTTTAAAAGGTGATACTAGATGCTGTTTTGGGATAGATATTGCTGTATGACGGTTAAGTATCTTTTTGCATTTCAAATAAAAAAAATTTTTTGTGAACCACCAACAACACAACAACACTAAACGACGACTAATTAGTAATTAAATTACTAAACTCTAATAATTAAACTAAAACTAATCTTTACTGATTCTAATTACTAATTGGGCATAAGTTTACATTCCGAACTACAATGTTAAAATTTGTTTACATTTATGATTGTTTACATCACTATCTCTAATAGAGTTACAAAAGCGCCTCCCACTAATATGCAGAAAGTTGATTGAGATAAAAATAGAAGAATTTTAAAAACGTTTATATCGTATTTAAATATGTTAACATAGTAATATATTGATTAAAATAACAATATATATATATTAAAATTTATTAAAATCAATTTATTGAAATAGTTCTCGTGGTTGTTCTCGTGGTTGTTAAGGTTACATTGAAAGATATGCCGACATCGTTGAGTAATAGCAACACTATTAATCTGAGAAGAGAGAGACATAGTAGAATCAAAGATAAAACCTAGACTACGAAACTTATGAGAGACATCATCGTAACAACACGAAACATATAGAACGAACAATTTTATTATACTTCATTTTATCATTTCTTCTATTTTCAATTAATTTTCAATATTATTTTTTCACGACAACCTAACTTAACCCTGCCCCTAACCCTGACACATACACACATCAACTTTACACATATACATTATACACATTATTTTACTAAATTATACGTGCAAATTATAATATACGTACAGATAACGTGTAATATACGTACAAATTATAATAAAATAAAACTTATAATAATAATATAATAAAAACATAAAAGGCAAAAGCGCATGCATCTATTTTAATCTCAGTGCACTTTTCGAATTTCAGTAGGAGGAGCTTTTTTTACTCTCTATTAGAGATAGTGAATGCGAAGAGACGTTGTAGTTCGGAATGTAAACTTATGCCACTTTTGAAATTGAAATAATTGAAATAAATTACAGATAACACTAACGAACATTAACAGATTAGACTACTAGAAACTACCAACCACTACACTAAAACATACTACTACTACACTAACGACTAACAGCACTTGTTCCTAAGATCCTAAATTCTATTGCTTGATTGGTTTTAAAATTTTTATTTACAATGCTTAGGTCTGGGAATAAAAAATATACTAAATTAAATAAATATATTAAACAACTTACCAATCAATTTTATAAAATAAACAATTTTGTAATTTGTTCAATTCAAGCTTCAAACTCCCCAGCTAACTTGCAATTTAATTAAAATTTATTAATTATGAGTGATTCAAACTAAATTTTTTTTTATTTAATGTTTTACAAAATATTCCTCATTCTTAAATTGTAGTACATGTTGTTATTAAATTTATTAAAGATAATGTGATAATTAAAGATAATGTTTTACAAAATATTCCTCATTCTTAAATTGTAGTACATGTTGTTATTAAATTTATTAAAGATAATGTTTTACAAAATATTCCTCATTCTTAAATTGTAGTACATGTTGTTATTAAATTTATTAAAGATAATGTGATAATTAAAGATAATGTTTTACAAAATATTCCTCATTCTTAAATTGTAGTACATGTTGTTATTAAATTTATCAAAGATAATGTGTGATTCCAGTGATTCATCAATCCATGACTTGTTAGATCATGATCATTCAGTTTTAAAGAATCACCATCACCATAACCAATGAGGTTTGTAAAAATTATACTTTTAATTTATTATATTTTATGCACTTAGAATGTTGTGTTATTAATTATTATCATTAATTTATTAAATGCTGTGCATACCTATGGCAAGTAAATAAAATAATTAAGCATAGAAATAGCCACAATCAAATTAATTTATATAGGCATGAGTATAATTTGGATAATAATAATTAAAAATATCGGTATCATTGAAAATGGATAAAGTCATAAATAAAAAAATAAATCATAAATTGCTAAAAATAATAGTTCCAGTAAGATTTTGCCTTACACCTACATCTTTTTTTCATTCTTATATTATAATAAATGTTTGTTATCAAATATATCAAGGATTGATTTCTCAATCCATCACTAGATTGAATGTCATGACCCTACAGTTCCAGAGGATCCCCATCACCATTAGTCAATAAGGTTTGTAGAAATCACCCCAGGCATACCATCAATGTTTTGTAGCCACCTTTTAATGTAGTGTTAATAAAATGACATTGAGAATAGTTATTTAAAACAATCTTATTAAAATTATTGAACAGGTATGACAAGATTACTTTCTTAATGTCCTAGTGCGAGGAAGATGTAAGCCATTTGTCCAAAGATAATCATATGTCTTATGCCCATACAAATGTAGTGTCAACGCGAATGATTTTTGATCAGAGTCATATGTTCTAATTTTTTTAAACTTTTCCAGAAATTTTTCTGTTAATTTATTCTGTTAATTTACATTAAATACTTGATGTGTATTTCATATAAAAACTTGATTATGCCAATTTAGTTAACTTGTTAAGCATTAATATAAAATTGATTGACTCTACTTGTAATGGTGATTGGTATGATGATGATGATCCCAGTCCTAAACAGGGTTTATTATTCACAATGTCATTATGCCCTTTCTAAGTTTTAATAAAATACATGGAATATTGGTGAATGCATTTTATATTTTTTGTATAGATAATGTTGCAATGTACAATGATGATGTGAATTGCTTCCTTGTGTAACTGATGACATATAAATATAACTAACTTGAAAACATGGGAATGCTTTCTTCAGCATTACTTTCCTTTCTCCATCATAACCCTTATAATCTTTATTACAGAAATGGTCACTGCATATTCTTGCATTTTTTGATGGAAGCCATTTGAAATCATTTATTTCCTGTCTGATGCACTTAATCCAATCGTTTTGCATTTTTACATTTTGAGGAAATCTGAAATTTTATAAACTGTTACAGAAACTTGTGCATTTCTTAAGTATTGCTTTTAATAATAAAATGGTAATCCATGATAGCATTATAAATTATAATAGTCTATAAAATAAAATATATGTAATTGTAAAACAAAATAGTTCTATTCAACGAGTATAGGGATATTGTTACATTTATTTTAGTGTGAAGTTAATTTGAAAATGAACCTGTGAAAAGATGCATCAGAAATTTTCTCATTTCTATTTATTATTAATGCAATTTTTAATGCAACAGGTAGGCATGTTTGTGTATAGCTACGAAAATGAAAATTTACTTAAAAACTAAGTTATTGTATCTGACACGAAAATTAGTACAGAAACAAAAACGAAAGAATAAATGACAATATAAAAATTTAAACATTGATTGAAAGAGTTTATTCTAATTATATCGTTGCGAAATCGTTGGAGGAAATGGTGTCAACAGTAGTTATTTTACTGCATGGTAGTTAATCAGCCGGTATAAAGGTTTTATTCAATTCCTATCAAATAAATTTGACAAAATATACACAGGCAGAACTAAATAAAGAAATAGACATGTAGTTATAATACATTTATAATGTTGTATTTACACATTCAAATTGTACAATTGTGTTATGGTGTAGTCTCAAATTATTTTAAATTCTCAGAAAATTTTAAACATTTTACTACACTATATATACTAGTTATTTTTATCAACAATTTAAAAATTTTATCAATAATTAAAAAAAAATTTCAAATTGATTTCATTGCGATATCACTAATGAATTTTGTGACCTGACTGATTAAAAAGCATCAAAGAAAGCTAAAATAGGATGGAGAATTTGTTATATTGGGATATTCGTTTAAAAAGCGAGCAAAATTTTAATATAAAAGCGCTTATAAATCTATGCATATTGGCTCAGCTTGGCTTGGCTCGGCTTGGAATCGGATGTTAAGCAAGGTGTGGTCTCAAACAATTTTGAATTCTCCCCGAAAAATTTGAGCTGCGTGCTTACATATATAGCACTGATTACTGTTGCTTTTATAATGAATTTTTATTATATATATATATATATATATAAAGTGACTGGAATCCATGTATACAAATAATTAAATTATATTATATTAGGTTATGATTATATGAAAAGCAATATAGCAGATTCAACCAGCCAACCAGAAGGTTTCGAAGGCGTTCGTTCGATGACTTCAATTTAGTACGGTTAGCATTTTGGTTAAGACTGTATAATAGTGTAGTACATACATTAAATAAGTTTTATATTGATGTGAATGATTGAAATGATGAAAATGTATGGTTGAAACGAGTATAAATAGGAGCTGAAAAAACGTTGAAATCAGATCAGGCATTTCTGCCTCGCTCGAGTCGGAGTGCCTGATCTCATTTTTTTATATTTATATTTTTTTAATTTATTTATTTTTATTTAATTTTATTTTATATAGAGTTAAATAGAGTTATGTAGATTTATATAGAGTTATATAGAGTTTGCATGTCTGTGGTTTGTGTGTTTGTATGT